CCTCGCGAAACGGCGGCGCCGAAAGTCCACATAGTCTAGAGGCTCAAGCGCCCACAATTGCCGGAGCGCCGTTTATCCTTTAGTTAGCAACTTGGCAATGCCCTTTACGAGTTGGTCAGTGATAGCTGGCGCCAGGGGACAAGTTGGTGGTGGTTGTCAATCCGCTGGTAAGACAAAAAGACGTTATTGGTCTCACAGAGCCCCTAATGTTTATTGCTGTTGTGAGTGGGGAATGTGAATTCCTGGTAAGCATCCGTCAGTGGAGGGATGACACCAGGAAATCGTCAGAAGTGAATCAGTTGATTTCTTCAGTAAACATTCCATCTCCAGCTAACTAGGGAGGTCTGTTGCGTGACTCTGGATTGGGTATGTAACTTGAGCTTTCATGCAGAAGGGCCTTGCATCGATCTCCCGTACCGTATATATGTACAGTAATGCACATGGTTATCACATCTGATCGCCAATGCAGTGTTGTGCAGAGCAATGCAGACGCAAGATCAGGGCTCGGTCAGCATAAAAAACCTAGATCTGAGTTAAACATGTACCAGGGTTCAATTTCAGTGTCGATTGGCCGAGTTGTGCCAGCGGGCGAAGAAAAACATCATGAGATGAAGTTGACGCGTCGCGTCAATAACCCCTCTTCTTACCTTACCTTACCTCACTTAACTTGACTTAACAAAATAAATACACAGAGCTATAGCAGCTTTCTGTACTGTGATTGGTGTTTCGGGTTTGGAGCTGAAAACTGTAATTACTGAAACCGGCGTAGAGCTAGGATTCGTGGCAACTGGTTATTGCTGAGTTCAACGCCGGCGGTTTCAATAGTCAGCAACCACATTGATAACCGACCTCCGAGGCACTGCATCGTCGCTGGGATAGCCCTGTAGACTGGACCAAGATTTGCTCGAGCGCTGTGTCTTGTCGTCGTTGATAGGTTGGTTTAGAGGTAAGATGAGAACTCAATGGACTACGAACGCTCAAGTCGTTCTACAAATGCAGTCTCTCTCTGCATAAACGCAACTTATCAGCGCTGATATTGGGTCACGGGTCTGCTAATTGCAGCATGCATGCATGTCCGTTGTCTAATTTGCCCGTGAACAGGTTTTGTGAGAAACCTGTAATTATTTCGACATCCCACTCTTGAATTAGAGGCCCTTCACCGCCAGTTGGCCTTTGTTTGATAACCTGATTCTTCTAAATTTGGAGTGAATAGCTGCAATCTAACATCTGTGGTTTATTAGGAGCCTTTATTCAGCTCTACAGGTCAGGTTTCTTTCCGGGTCCAATTAGTCTGGAGGTGCTGGCGAACTGTTTACTTTTCACTCGTATGGATGGATGCCCCTGCTCGCATTTTGATATAGCCTCCCTCGGCGATATGCCCTTTTATTATGTGCTCGAGCTCCCGTGTCTTAGGTTCTTGCTATCCGCATGACCCGGTTCGGGAAAGCTATGACTCCCATTCCCATCTCCATCTTCTTGACACTTGCAAACATGATGCGGTTAGCTATAGGTTAGGTCGCTACGATTCGGACAGCTTTTCGTGTATTGAGTAGAGTGGCAGAGTGCCTTCTCTGTCCAACTTTCCACCTGCTGCAGAGCTCATTAAAATCAGTCGTTTTGTATTAGGTAGTGTCCGAGTTCCAACCTGAATTCTGGACCGACTTAACATATTTTGGGTGCCTACCAGTGTCATAGTCGTTGTCACAACTCAAATTTAGCAACTTTGGCAGGACGCCAAGCTGTGTTAATTGTAGCCCGTTTACCATGGTTAAAAACCGAATCAAATCATCATCATGAGTCAGTCAGAAACAAACTAGAAGTCAAGAATGAATATGCATTCCTTGAGTGATTCATGATCAAAAACTTGTGGATTAGTTATCGCTACATCCGTAGTATCTCAGACACACCTACCCTGGAGTTGATGATGTCGGCGATCGGACATCAGACTTCCGTGATGGATCTGGTACCTGCCCACAATTTTCAACGACATCTCTGGCGGGGCATCGAGGTAACGACACTGTCAAGCCATTCAATCACAGTTTGACAACTCTGTGTAGCTCGCTGCGCATACTGAAGTTGTCAATCACATAGCAGATTATCAAGGGGCCTCAAGTCATTCGCTCTTAGCCCAGCTATCCCACCGTCGAGTCAGCGCATCATGGAGGCCGATATCAGAGCTGTGCTGCCGCACATCGACCCCGTAGTCTCCGAGTACTCTGTGGGCTACCTGACCCATGCGTCAACTTCCTATCTGGACGAGGAGGATGCATCTGGCGAGTCACCACTGAACGAGGCTGCTTCTACCATCACCGAGCTCCTACTGTCTGCATCTGGCCAAGTTAATGCTGAGCTGGAGGAGAAGATCAAACAATTGGTCGAGAAATGGGTTGACAAGTACACCGAGGCCAATGGAGGCCAGAGACGAGGACCTTCGACTGTAAAGCGTCTAGACCAGACTATCCAGGTGAGCCAGCAGCGCAACATGTCGTCCACTCTAGCTGTGGCGACCGGTGGCGTGGACCTGGAGTCTGCAAACGCAAGGAAGGTTGAATCGAAGGTCGATCGCAAGAAACTTGAGAAAGCAGAGAGAAAGATTGCCGCCAAGCAGCAGAAGAAGACCTTCAAGACTGTCGAGTACGAGGCATCCAAGCTGCTTGACCAACCCGAGTCGACCCAGTCATACGAAGAGTTCTATATGGCTGTCAACCCTCTGCAAATGGGCTCCAGCTCCGCAAACAAGTCAAAGGATATCAAATTGGACAACATCGATGTGTCAATCAGTGGAAACCGCATTCTTACAGACACAACGCTCACTCTCGCATATGGCCACCGCTATGGTTTGGTTGGTAACAACGGTGTTGGTAAATCAACACTGCTTCGAGCTCTGTCTCGCCGTGAGGTTGCAATTCCACTCCACATATCCATTCTGCATGTTGAGCAAGAAGTAAGTCTCTGTTGAATCAAGAAAGACCATTGCTGACAAGAAAGATTACTGGCGACGACACCCCAGCTATCCAGGCGGTTCTCGACGCCGATGTTTGGCGCAAGGTTCTATTGAAGGAGCAAGATGTAAGTCTGCCTTCCAGTCATAACGAATACCCACTAACGATGATAGCAAATCACGGCTCGCCTGGCAGACTTGGAGAAGCAACGTGCTTCTCTGGCCGACACATCTGCTGATGCGGCTAGAATTGATCGTGATAGAGAGGCCCAGGATACCAAGTTGGGAGATGTTCAGTCCAAGTTGGCCGAAATGGAGTCAGACAAGGCCGAGTCACGAGCTGCTAGTATTCTTGCTGGTCTCGGTTTCTCTCCAGAGCGACAGCAGCACGCCACCAAAACCTTCTCTGGTGGTTGGAGAATGCGTCTGGCCCTTGCCCGAGCACTGTTCTGTGAACCTGACTTGCTTCTTCTTGACGAACCGTCTAACATGTTGGACGTTCCTTCGATTACATTCTTGTCCGAGTACCTTCAAACATACCCCAGCACCGTCCTCGTGGTCTCTCACGACAGAGCGTTCCTCAACGAAGTCGCCACCGATATCATTCATCAACACTCTCAGCGTCTCGACTACTACCGTGGAGCCAACTTCGATACCTTCTATGCTACCCGTGAGGAGCGTAAGAAAGTCGCCAAACGAGAATACGAGAACCAGATGGTCCAGAGAGCTCATCTACAGGCATTTATCGACAAGTTCAGGTATAACGCCGCCAAATCTTCAGAAGCGCAGTCCCGTATCAAGAAGCTGGAGAAGATGCCGGTCCTTGAACCCCCAGAGGCTGAGTACAGCGTCAAGTTCACATTCCCCGAGGTCGAGAAGCTATCGCCCCCTATTGTACAGATGTCTGAAGTCACTTTTGGTTACAACAAAGACAACATCTTGCTGCGCAATGTTGACCTGGACGTCCAGCTTGATTCCCGAATTGGTATCGTCGGACCCAACGGTGCGGGTAAGACAACTATCCTGAAGCTCCTCATTGGTAAGCTGGATCCTTCGTCTGGTCTGATCTCGCAACACCCTCGTCTCCGAATTGGATTCTTCGCTCAGCATCACGTTGATGCCCTCGACCTCAACGACAGTGCTGTGGGTTTCATGTCAAAGAATTATCCGGGGCGAACGGATGAAGAATACCGCCGACGACTTGGCGCCTTCGGTATCACCGGCACAACGGGCCTACAGAAGATGGGATTACTTTCTGGAGGTCAAAAGTCTCGTGTTGCTTTTGCTTGCCTGGCCCTTACGAACCCCCACATTCTGGTTCTTGACGAACCTTCTAACCATCTTGATATTGAAGCCATGGATGCTTTGGCCGAAGCGCTCAACGAATTCCAGGGTGGTGTGCTGATGGTGTCCCACGACGTCACAATGTTGCAGACGGTGTGCAAATCGCTGTGGGTTTGTGATGGAGGCACTGTCGAGAAGTTCCCTGGCGATGTTCAGGCGTACAAGAAGAGGATTACCGCGCAAGCTAATGCTGCAGGTGTTGTTAAGCAGCATTAAGGATGTAGCCAAATTGATAAGACTGATTTTATGGTCCAAATAGATTTGCCCGACAACTTTGAGACCAGATGACATGTTATAATTATAATCTGTGATACGAACCGTTCATATCTCTGATTTCAGCTACTCGCTAGATATTCAGCTGACGATAGTTTTCTCTCACAAACACAACAATCAAGATTTGACTCATATTGTCCGACCCTAATGGTACTGATGCATAATGTGAGGTTGTGTTACATGTGATGTCGATAAAATGGGCTCGGACGGATTTCTATCAGAGCCTCAATGAATAGATGACAATTCGCACTCAATAGCAACAATGTGCGTTGAGTGTCAAACAAGACCTTTTTGAATGATGAACCTACGAATTCTGAACCCTGTTTTTTTATATCAAAGTTCCAACTCCCTTCCTACAAAAAACCTTACTGCGTGCACCGCCTCAACTTTTCACGAGAAGCACTCAACACCCATACATCTTCGGTCTCAATCATTGCCTATCATGTCAGAAATGGAAGGCGTCGTGGCAACCCAGGCGGTTGTCGCCATGGACATCACAGAACCTGATCCTCACGAAAGCCGCGATGAAAACAAACCCGCGTTCGATATCAAGAAGCCCAAGCCAACACTTCAGATCCGCGACAATCTGCTGTACTGGAAATGCAACCAAACACTTCACGACGGCAGCGTCTGCGGTTCCTACAACGAGCTGGACTTCAAGCAGTGCAAGGACTGCAAGAGCCGACGCGGTATTGGAGATGATGGCACTGACGCCTACGGCACTAAGATTGCAAAGATCGTCTTTGTTAACAACAAGAATGGAGAGGAACTTTGGCAGTATGCTTCGGAGGAATAGGTCAGCTCAAAGACGTCGATGGTTCAAATGGATGCGAAGTCTATCAGAGAAGACATGAACACAAAGCGAAGGAGAACTCGATGGTTATTTGCGCGCGAGAGATGTCGCGTTTGCCTCAGACTTTTACGAATCATAAGAAATGGACCAGATTTGATTTTAGAGGTGTCGACATGTTGTTCCTCAATGGAGCTTCCAAGCAACATCTACTGCAGAGAGCACAATAGGCACCCCCAAAGCTTTCCAAATTATACCTGTTACAGGAGAATTTCTTCTTTCATCCCTAAGGAGTCTCCTTCAGAGCCATTCAGTTGTGTATAAATGCATGGGTTTCGTGACAGTCTGAGACTTCTAAAGAGAAGTCACATCATGAATTTTACTGCCCTCTGTCTAGCGGAGGGCATCCTAGAGCCGGATCAGTAGACATAGGTGATGTACTTAACCATGTGCAACGACCCCATATGATATGCAAACACTCTCTACTTTTAGTTGGCGAAGCAGGGGGAGCTTACTGGTTGCTATGTAACTAGACTTTGCCTCGATGTTTGTATATGCTTGTTTCTTCTATGGGCTGTGGTTTTCCTCTCTCGAATCAATAAAATAAGGTGAATTCATATGTTTCGTCTGGTTTCTAGCCTTTTACACCATATGGATTCCTCCTACGTTCTTTCGGCCCCCTTCGCCTGACAGCCGGCGAGTGTATGCTGTTATGTGTAGTAATTCAAGCTCAACACTCGAGGCACAGGGAATAAGATAACCTCTGACCGTGAACCAAGGTACTGAAAACCATTACATCAGCTTTTTGTGTTGTTGAGAATAGAGATATTGGGGGTTGTTGCCTCCCCAGCCGAGGTAGGCAGAGTGATTGGCGCCTTGGTTTAGATTAACATCAATATGTGCCAGTGAATAGGTACCTAGGTAGGTAACCAATGGATATCTACTCCGTACCTAATAAGAAAGAAGATGCAAATGTATAACGTTCAATGCAATTGGAGCCTTGCTCCACTGGCTGAATATTTCGGTAAATACAGATACATTCAGCTTGGAGATTCTCTTACATACTGTGCTATCGCCTCATTGTTAATTCTGATCGTCCGAAGCCGTATGTTCATCTCGGATGGTCAAATCGCCAATTTACCAGTGGGGCAAGTTTTGCTGGCACTCCAACAGTTGGCGATCCGGCGATACCTCACATACTGACTGCGCTGCCAGCGTGGCTGGCCTCAACGGCGCGAAAGGTGGTTGTGACTCCAAAAACGGCTCGATTCGGGGTAACTGAGCCTACTAAGTATATAGGTAGGTAGGTTCTTTTTTCATCTAAGCTGCCTTATAAGTATTACCACTTCAATTCTTAATATGCATCCATCTGGAGATAGAATGGCGGGCTGCTATTTCCTCTCCGTCGGCAGTGACAGGTGCGGATTCATTGGCGTGCCTGCCACTGCGGGACCCTTCAGGCGGCGCCTTGCCCTTCTGAACGCGTGCACGGACCAAGAGGTAAACAAGTGAGAGTGCTTACTGGTCCAATGGCCTGGAAGGAACCGCCCTGCCCCTTGTTTACCCCCTGCTGGGCCCTGGAGCCGTGGCGGTGAACAATTTCACCCTCCAGCTCCAAACAAAAATCAACATCGCCCTTTGGTCTCTTTCCAACCCAACCCAACCCACTCTTCTCCTCCGTCAAAGCTAGGTCTACTTCAGCTCTTCGACGACTTCGGCCCATTTCTCTCCTCCTTCTCTCTACTCCTCCAGATTACATTCATCCACATCCATCAACATGCGTGAGATTGTAAGTACCTCTCTTCTTAAGTTTGTATTGTGCTGTTGCACGCGTTGAGTTCACCGTGCCCCTGATTCTACCCCGCTGGGCGGTGGCAGCTCAACGACATTGCACGATAGCTAGCAGCTTTAACCTACCTTCTGTCAAGACGAAGAAGCTAATCAGATCTTTTCTCTACGATAGGTTCACCTCCAGACCGGTCAGTGCGTAAGTGCTCATCGCTTCCTCAACGTCGCATGCGGGGGATGCTCACAACGTTTATCAGGGTAACCAAATTGGTGCTGCTTTCTGGCAAACCATCTCTGGCGAGCACGGCCTCGACAGCAATGGTGTCTACAACGGTACCTCCGAGCTCCAGCTCGAGCGCATGAGTGTCTACTTCAACGAGGTATGCCTTAACAGTCAATGCCAATAATCCCCAAGCTCACACAACTAGGCCTCTGGCAACAAGTATGTTCCCCGAGCCGTCCTCGTCGATCTTGAGCCTGGTACCATGGACGCTGTCCGTGCTGGTCCCTTCGGTCAGCTCTTCCGTCCCGACAACTTCGTTTTCGGTCAGTCCGGTGCTGGAAACAACTGGGCCAAGGGTCACTACACTGAGGGTGCCGAACTTGTCGACCAGGTCCTCGACGTTGTCCGCCGTGAGGCCGAGGGCTGCGATTGCCTTCAGGGTTTCCAGATCACCCACTCCCTCGGTGGTGGTACCGGTGCCGGTATGGGTACTCTACTTATCTCCAAGATCCGCGAGGAATTCCCCGACCGAATGATGGCCACCTTCTCCGTCGTTCCCTCTCCCAAGGTCTCTGACACCGTCGTTGAGCCCTATAATGCAACCCTCTCTGTCCACCAGCTGGTCGAGAACTCCGACGAGACCTTCTGTATCGATAACGAGGCCCTCTACGATATCTGCATGCGCACCCTGAAGCTGTCCAACCCCTCTTACGGTGACCTCAACTACCTTGTTTCTGCTGTTATGTCCGGTGTCACCACCTGTCTCCGTTTCCCCGGTCAGCTGAACTCCGACCTCCGAAAGCTCGCCGTCAACATGGTGCCTTTCCCTCGTCTACACTTCTTCATGGTCGGCTTTGCTCCTCTGACCAGCCGTGGTGCTCACTCTTTCCGCGCTGTCAGCGTTCCTGAGTTGACCCAACAGATGTTCGACCCCAAGAACATGATGGCTGCTTCGGACTTCCGCAACGGTCGCTACCTGACCTGCTCGGCCATTTTGTGAGTGATCCCGATTTTGCACATGATAACAATTTACTGACTTTAACCAGCCGTGGCCGTGTCGCTATGAAGGAGGTCGAGGACCAGATGCGCAACGTCCAGAGCAAGAACTCGTCTTACTTCGTTGAATGGATTCCCAACAATATCCAGACAGCCCTTTGTGCCATCCCTCCCCGAGGACTTACGATGTCTTCGACCTTCATCGGAAACTCTACCTCTATCCAGGAGCTCTTTAAGCGTGTTGGTGAGCAGTTCACTGCCATGTTCCGACGCAAGGCTTTCTTGCATTGGTATACTGGTGAGGGTATGGACGAGATGGAGTTCACTGAGGCTGAGTCCAACATGAACGATCTTGTCTCCGAATACCAGCAGTACCAGGATGCTGGTATTGATGAGGAGGAAGAGGAGTACGAGGAGGAGCTCCCCGAGGGCGAGGAGTAAATCTGCTCCAGTGTGCTGAAATAACTGGCCGCTATGTCATGTTTGTCGTATAGCCGGCCTGCAACTTCTTTTCGAGTGTAGTTGTTGTAATTCTGGGGTTAAGATATCCTCAATAGTGGCAGTACACTATAGTTGTATGAGCCAAATAAAATCCCAAGAGTACTGTTGTACCAATTCAAGTCTTGAAGGTGGTGAAACTAGCACCAACTAATTCAAACTGGTCACAAGCCAGTTTCGCCAAGTACCAACTCGAAATGTTTCTGTGACATGAAGTTAAGCATCGGTAATCGGACCACATTCGCGGACGTGACCCTTGGTGTAAGTTGTCATAGGTAGTGAACACGTGATATCATGACTAAGCGCGAAAAGTTGAGCTCCATCAGCTTGCCAACCTCGTTCGACGAGCCAATACTGCTGCACGCCCACGGCAGCCATCTTGACACCAATGGCCGCCATGTTTACTCCCAGCCGGGGGAGGGCAATTGGACGAGCCATTGCGGCTTCGTCGTCTGGCCCTGTTACCCTCCCTAGCTTCCTGGTGCCAGCATGGCGAACGACAGCACCCAAGATCGCATCTTCCCGAGCCGCCATTGCCCTCTTCTCCACGACCTCGAAACGACCATCCAAGCTGGGAAGAACCCCTCTATCGATTCCTCCTGGCGTAGAGCTATCTGTCGGCGAGCCGGTGGCGAGCAAAGACTTGACATCATACAAGAAGGTGTACAAGAAAACCATCACTGTAAAAGGACCTTTGGGTATGAGGGAACGGCACCTAGAAATGAGGGGAATGATTGCTGACTGGGTGTTAGGAGAGCTTGAGCTCGAAGTTCCGGAATATGTACAGGTGACGCAAGATCCTGAGGCAAAGGTGGTATCATTGAATGTCCAGGACACTGACGCCAAGGACCAAAAGGCCATGTGGGGTACGTTCACCGGTTATCGTCACGCTTGGTGGCATTGGGGCTGACAATTGGATAGGAACAACATGGTCTTACCTAAGGAACTATATAATGGGTGTCTCGGAAGGGCACACGGCCATTCTCCGTCTGGTCGGTGTTGGTTACAGAGCGAGTGTCGAAGAGCGAGGTGCTAAAGAGGAATTCCCTGGACAGCGCTTCCTGTGCCTCAAGCTCGGGTTCACTCACCCTGTCGAAGAGGGTATCCCTCGCGGCGTGACCGTAACAACTCCTGCGCCTACACGTATCCTGATTGAGGGAATTGACCGCGAGACCATCATGTCGTTTGCTGGACGAATTCGCATGTGGCGTCCTCCGGAGCCTTACAAGGGCAAGGGCGTGTTTATTAACGACCAGACGATCAAGCTGAAGCAGAAGAAGATCAAATAGAGAGATGGCATGTGGGAATTTATGCTGGCCAGCTTGGTGGCTTGGCCTTTGGGACGCAGCTGGCGTGTGTATTCTAGTATCATGTACAGATTTGTGTGTACTATTTGACAAGGCATATACAAAACTACATTTTCTGCTTTCAAAATTTTCGCATTCATTAAAGTCATGCACTTTTGTTTTCCTATTTACTTTTCCTTATGACTGTTTGGCGCTTAGAACCTCCTGGACAGCTCCGAGAACCTTGGCGTGAACAGCAGCAGGAGCGGCAATGACGCCCTTGTTGTTGGCCAGAGTGCGTCCTACGCTGAAGTCGAGACGCTTTCCGTGAATGTCAGTTACTTGACCGCCAGCCTCACGAACAATGAGGTCACCGGCAGCGTGATCCCAGATCTTCTCCTGATATGTGGCCTTGACAGGCAGACGGAGGTAGATGTCGCCAGCACCGCGGGCAATAGAGCCGTACTTAGCCTGGCTGTCCATGCGGACACTCTCCTGGGTAATACCAAGCTTCTTCGAGATAAGAGCTTGGTCATCATGCGCCGAGTGGCCTGCCTCAACGCTCTCGCAGAAGGTAGCCTTGGAGAGATCATCAATGCTTCGCATAGAGATGGGCTTCTCAGCAGCAAGAGCGCCGGAAGTGAGAGGTCGGCTGTTCGCGCCATGGCCCTGTACAGCAGAGAAAACAACACCACGACCCTCATCGGTGGCATTAGAGCCAATGTCGGAGGTAAGACGGGCTGAGTCGTCAACTGGAAGGTTAGGGCAGCCAAGAACACCGACCTTGACGTCGCCGTCGACCATGAGACCAAGGCAGACAGCGTATTGCCCACCACGGAGGAAGCCCTTTGTACCGTCAATGGGATCGATTGCCCAGATACGACCGCTGGAACCACCCTGGCTGCCACCTCTATCGATCAATTCCAACATATTGTCAACATCCTTAATGGGGCCACCCAGTTGCTTCTCAGCATCTTCATCATCAAGCTTTGTGGAGCTGACGAGCTCCCAGATAGTCTGCTTCAGGTTCGCATCGTCACGGAGCTGCGCAGCCTCCTCCTCGGCGACAATAGCGTCGTCAGGGAAGTTGTGGCGGAGAGCGGCGATGATGAGGGCCTGGGCGCCGAAGTCGCCAATGGTGACAGGGCTCTTGTCATTCTTGTCAACGGTTCCCTTTGCCTTTTCGTGGAACACGCGCTTGGTGAGGATCGTAGCACGCTGAACGGCCAATTGGGCGATCTGAAGCTCTGAAGCGTAAGATGGAGAAGCCATAGTTGTGAGCGGTCGTTGGAGAAGGATAAGATGGGAAGAGAGTTGGCGGAGACGAGGGATGAAGGCGGGGGAGATAAGGATAGCCAGGATGAGGGTCAATAAGAAAAGAATAAAGGATCTGGAGAGGAAGAATTTTGGAGTAGCAGTGGGCATACAAGGCAACGCAATAAAATGTAGTTAAGTATGGTAGCTACCAAGTAACGTGGGATGGCGCAATTGTCCTCTTGTTTTTTATGGTGGTGTTGGAGCTTAGAGCAGACACTGGTTGGTCTCTATCGGGTCGTCGGGCGGGTCGTCGGGCTCTAGATGAAGGCAATTGGGTCTAATTAGAGTGGGATGTGGGTTGATTGATTGATATGAGAGACGGACGACAAGAGGAAGAGAGAAAGAAGTGGGATGAGCCGTTGAGAAGTCTGAAGCCTGAGTACTAATGTAAGCTGCGAGTACCTTGGTACCTTAGGTATGGCGTAATCGGAAGCGGAATACAATTCGAATCCGTCAATTAAATTACTGCTTAATTCAAACGAAGCCAAAACATGTCAAACAGAATATACATGTTAGATTTATCATTTTATACCTCCATTATGGAAGCTCTATTACCAAGATAAATGTGCAATGGCAAGATTAGTACCTAGGTAGGTAGGTAGCTCTCTAGCCAACCCCGCCATCAGAACTCCGATATCGATGAGGAGGGGCATTTCTCTCTTCCATCCCACTAACAGAACAGTTTCTTTCCCCTGCTGATAGCGGAACCACCCGATTGGCCGGACTTTTCAAGCATCAATTCTGCCCAGTTCATACCTAGGTACATACAATCAATCTCAAAGCATCATCTCAACTCGACATCCTCTTTTGCTTCCAACCAACCAACCCCTGTCACCCGAAATGGCCTCTTCTCCAGCCTCACTACGCTCTCTCTACCGCTCCCTCCTTCGCGAGCTACCACCTCGACCAATTCTCGCCTCACCACGCTCACCTCTTCACTCCCGCCTTCGAGATTCCTTTTCTTCCAGCTCCAAGGCGGCGACATCACAGGACGCCCGCGCCCACGCGGCTGCCCAGGCAATCGCCTATCTTCGATCTCAGCGCATGTATGCCACGTTACTCGAGCGTTATAACCCTGGTATGGGCATGGATGAGGAGGAGCGTGTTCGCTTGACCGCTAGGAGGGTTGGCATGGATTTGCCAGTTGAGTACAAGTAAATGGGTTTTTTAACGGCGAAATGAAAATGAGGCAAGGGACGGAAGAAGAGAACGGAAAAGGGCTTCAATGGCCATAAATCATCAAAGAGAAACGGACCATGACTGATCGACCCGTCCAATGAATCTAAACACCAAGCGCCAAACGATTTTCAACAGCGAATTTACAGATGGGAGAATAGACCAGATGGTATTTAGCACTCAAGAAAATGGCGGCGGAGAAAAAGTTGGATTCAGCCCACACACCCTTCAGTGTACGAATAAGTGTATGGAACAGAAAAGACAGACGCAATGCCCGAGCGTCACTCGATTATCAAGAACAACCATGTCATCATCATATCTCATATAAAACGGACAACTTTGGTCCAGGAGCAACAAATTATATACAGAACAATAGCGTTTCCAATCATCAAGCCCATTTGGCTCAGGGGGTATCAACTTCTACTCACTTCAATCACTTCACCTTCTAGACACTGCCCACACCTCTGTCTTCGAGCGACTCATCCCAGCCGCCCATTTGCAACAGCCACCCTCCTAGGCGCTCTTTCACGAGCGTAATGTTATCGCCTAAAGCGCTCTTCCATTGATCTTGAACGAGACGGACCTTTTCCTTCAGATCCTCGGTAAGTCGCCGTTCTTCTGATTGTCGCATTTGCACCGCCTGTGCATTGCTATCTGCCTTGGGAATCGCGTTTCCATTCTCATCTTGGGTCTGCGTCTCGAGGACCTTGCCTTTGGCGTGAACCACAGCCTCTTTGACCTCGTGAAGTAGACACAACAGGTTGGTGTGCGATTCGATGAACTGGTACGTGCTCTTCTCGGCGTGAAGCAGCAAGCTAAAAAGATACTGCATCGGATGCTCGACGTAGGATGGGTTTTCCTCAATTTCCGATGCTGGAATCTGAATATTGAAGCCATCTAGATCGAGAGGAATATTGTCCAGTAGCTCACAAAGCGGAGGCGCAATATCCCAAAACGCCGACAGCTGCAGTGCAACACCATGATCCACAGCCTTTTCAACCACTCCTCGGAAGTCTCGGGTCCGTTCCAGAACCTCGTGAGCGAACGCATATTCACGCTTGGCCGCGTCTTCGGCAAAGAAAGCCTCAGCTGACTTGAGCTTCTCAGTATTTCCGGAAAGTCGGTAAGGAGTCAGTACAACCTCGCAATATCGGCCGTTGCGATCCGACAGAAGATCGTAGATGGCCCGGTGCAGACCCTCTCGTGCCTCAAAGACCCATTTAAGCAGCGTCAGTTTTTCCAGAAGTTCTGGTCTATCATCACCCTCCTCCTGCGGCATGTCCGCGTCTATCTGCCCGTTATCGAATAGATGTCGTGCCAGGTCGTCAAACAGCTCTGTGGCGCTTGAGATACGCCCTGTCAGTAGTTCGTTCAAAGGCAGTACCACCTGATTCTGGAACAATTCGTATTCGGACTTTTCCAAGTCCTTTTTCTTTGTTATCTCGCTGGCTTTTGCGTCAGCATCAATAGTTCCTGCATCAGCGTAACTCAAGCTGCCAGCGTTGATTTCATTCTGCAAGTTTGTACGCAAGGCTTGACGGCGCTCAGACGCTGCTTTGGAAAATTGTTCTCGACGTTTAGTGCTCTCGACAGTGAACCGCTCCCTTGTCTTGGTCAATTCATCGAGTTGACTCAGAGCTCTCACGGCTGTTCTGATGGATGTCAACTCAGGATGTTTGTTATTGACAGCGGGATGGTGTCTTGGATAAGGAGGAGGCATGGTGACAAGACGGGAAACATCCAAGTGGTCGCGGTTGATCGTCGAGCAGGGACTAGAGCCCATGTTTGACGTGGTGGCGAAGCCAAATTGCTGAGGAGTCAAGTTGGGCTCCGACTGATCATGCCAGCCCGTCTTTTCAGGAGGATACTCGGATGAAGAGCCTTGCTCCTCGTATACCACAGACGGCTGGTCCTCCTCGACCCACTGTGTCTTGGGTACGCCCATATACTTCGACTCTCTCTTGGAACGTCCGAGATGGGAAGCTTCGCCTTGCGAATCTGATTCCCACCAACGGCTCGGAGGACGACCCCGTGAGCTGCCATTTTCATAGTTTTCACTGACGCTCATACTTAGAATTGGCGATAACGATGGCATATAATTGCTGGACCAGTTCACGTTTGGTGGGTTGTTCCCGCTCGGCGACGTCGGGACATTGACTGTCTTAGAGGCAGACCGAGGACTTTCTCCCAAATTTGAACCTATAGAGCCTCGACGAGAAGGCCCTGGTTCGGATAGTCCAGGGGTCCACTGATCCTGTGAAGAGGCTGACTCTCGCCTTTGGCTGACCATCGGCCGAAATAAGTCGCGGGTGAGGTCAAAGATCTCGGAGCCCATAGCCCCAATAGCGACAGAATATCGTTCTCGTCTGATCCTTGATTCGTTGACAACAAAGTCGGCGAACATACGCACCCTATCCGCGTCAGTAGCGGCTCTCGATTCTCTAATCGCAAATTCGCGGAATCGACCGATAGTCCCTTCTTCAAACTGATCGGCAGTTTGAGTCGTAACCAAATGTTTCGACACCAACAGACCGGCGGAAGGGGGTCGAGAAGACTCTCGGACCCTCGAGACCGATGCCACAGATCCGGACCTTGGAGGCGGAGTAGGGAGCGCCTTTGGAGCGACAACCTTTGAGCTGCTGGCATATATTGGTTGCTTAGAAGCGTTGGGGGAAAAGGGTGGTGTTTCCGCTTCCTGGGGCAGCTTCCCCGATGCTGGGGCTCTAGGGGTCGAGTTTCGGGAGTCTTGCGATGCGAGTGCGCCACTCAGAGGGGTCGATTTACCAATTGATGTCCGTGACAGATCAGTCGTATTCGGTACCATTATGTCGGCCATAGAGTCGGGTCGAGTCCGTTCATCTATGGAGCCACGGACACTGTGTCGGGTCCGACTCTCAGCCCTCCGCTGCAAAATTGTCTTATCATGTCTAACTGCCTTTTGCCGATTGAGCCCGCCGATACTCGATGAGGAACCTAGAGCAGGTTCAACAGGCTGCGAGGATGGTAGCGACGTGTCAATTCTGAGACCCGGTGAGCGGCTTCGGTTTGAGGGGCCGGCTTGACTCCCCGTCTCGTTCCAATCTGCAGGTGTTGGAGGAACAGGTCCGAGTTCTGTGACACCTGTTGGTGGTCGGCGTCTTTTTGTAGGAGGAGATATGATGGGGACTGTGTTCCTATCTATTGACTGTACGCTTTGCGACCTGCTTGAAGCAGGTGGGGGCCCTGGTGGCGGAGGTGGGAGAGGCATGCCTGGTTCCCATCTGGTTTGAGACGCTGATCGTGAGCGAGCAGATGTGGGTGTCTCCACGGCTCCTGCAGAAACGGCTCTTCGAGCCGCTGGCGGCCCATGAATCACAGGCCCAGTCATTCCATGTTCGGGAGTAGGTTGATGAAACGAAGTTTGCACGATCATGCTCTGTCGATGGGCTTGAGGAGGTGGCGGCTGAGGTGGAGGAGTACTAGAGGTGTCCATATCTCTACGGCGGCCTAACGATGGCAGAAAGCGGCGATCCCGTGAACCATTTCGCCCATTTACACCCGGAGGGGGGGGAGGAAAAGATGCATTGGCAGGTTCAGGTGAAGGCCGATGCACCATTGTGCTCAGTCGAGGCGGCGGAGTCGGAGTACCAGCCGGTGTAGAGTCGAAGACGGTACTCATGGGACGCTGCTGTTGACTTCTAGGCGGACTGTATGGAGGAGGCGGCATTGGCGACACTGGAGCATGTTAGAACGGTAGCAATAACATGATGTTTAGTTCTTGGTGGCTTGCCTTGGACTTC